TGTCCCGGCCCGGCCCGGCCACCCCTTTGTGTGCGCGTGTCCCCCCGCCGTCCCGCGCGCTCCCGGGCTCGGGCCCTGTCGCTCCGCCTCTGTGCCCCTCTCAGGCCTGTAGGACTCAGGCCCTGTGTCTGCCTCTGCTGCATTCTCTGCCCCGCCGCCGGCCCTGTTTCTGCACATCTGTCCCTTTCTCTGTCCCAATTCCTTTGTCTCTGGTCCTGCCCCTTTGCCCACCTCGTGCTTCTCTTTGTTTCTACCTACTTCTCTCTGCTTGGCCTTCTGTCCATATCTTTGTTCCAAAATCAGCAAACAAGGCGGCCAGGGTGGCGCCCACCTGTCATCCCAGCACTGGGAGGCTGAGGCAGGAGGATGGCAAGTTTGAAGCCAGCCTGGGCTACCTAGTGAGTTCAAGGCCAGCCTGAACTACATAGTGAGATCCTGGCTGACTCACCACGTGCAGATCAAGCCCTGCAGTTTCAAAACATACCTGTCTTTGCTTAATCCAAGATTTACCCCCCAAAACATTTTTTTTTAATGATACCGCCATCACTTTGGAGCAACATTCTTTCATACCCTGCAAGGCAGACTCCGGAATGCTTTCCCTTGAAGTCTTCTGCCTGCTGCCCACATACCTGTCTCTACTGTGCCCCAGGGAAGCCAGCGCCTGGCCCTAGCAGTCATCTCTGGAGCAACTCAGCCAAGACCGGGAAGACGTCTGGACAGACTTTACCCAAGACCCGGATCCCTGCCAGAGGGGAGGTGAAAAATAGCTCCTGGCAGCCAGGCCCTGATGTTCTCTATGAAATCTAAACAATGGTCCCAGAATATAAACAGTGATCAGACGAGGCCATGCCGTGACCACATCTGAAGCAAGATACACACAAGGACAGGCTGTAGCCACAAAAAGGAGTGTACACCCCTCTCCTGCCAGTGTCAACTCCGATTTCCAGTCCTGCTACCTGCAACTACCTCCCCTAAATATCCAGAGCAATCTGCAAAATGAGGTCATTCTACACCAGGATGGACAGTGAGTCAGAGAGATGGCTCTGGCTGTACTGGTTGAGCTCCCAGATACAGCCATGCCTGAAGCCAGAGGCCCTTGTCGTTTCTACTTCTAGGAGCCAGCCAACTTCTGAGCGTTTGAACTCTGTTTAGTGGATTTCTGTCCCTTGCATCCGTGATGTTCTTGACTAATTTAGAAATCACTACCTGGAAAGGGAGGGGTACTAAGGAAAATAACTGTTTTTTTTTTTTTTTTTTTTTTTTTTTTTTTTGTTTTTTTTTTTTTTTTTTTGTACTAGGAATCAAACTCAGGACCTTGCGCTTGCCAGGCAGGCACTTATGCCACTGAGCTATATCCCTGGCCCAGGAAAATAACTTAAAATGTGGAACTGGCTAAGCCAAGGGGAGGTTGAGAGGTAGGACTATCACATGCATGGGCTGGAGAGCCAGTAAGGATTCCTCGGGTTGTGCAGTACACAAGTTGTCCGGATGTATGAGATGCGACCAAAAAATACGGCAGCTACTGAGATTTTTAAAAGCTTATTATGATGAAAGACGTATTGCCACGGATCCCCATTCAGAAGCCCCCCTTTCGGTTCAGCACACTTTTCCCCTCACTCTTGCCCCTTTCCAAAGCAGCTCTGGACCTCCCCTTTTATGCGAGTCTTTAGTTGTGCCGCTGCGGCCGCCTACATGTCCTGGATCAAGTCTGGGTCCTTTTGACCTCGGGGAAGAGCCGGAAGCCATGGCAGATGGGTGTCCTGCGCACGAGGGTGCTTGCTCGTGTTTTTGGATGCGCTCAGCAGCGGCATTCGCTCTACATTTTAATCACACCTTGCAAAGGCACTCACAGAAAAGGACTCCAGAGCTGCTTCAGAACTCAGCAAGAGTGGTGGGACAAGCGTGTCTGAAGTAAGGGGAGCGTTTGGAGGGTCTTGTCTTTGCCTCTGATAATATTTTTAAAAAATTAAACATTCACGCTACAGTTTGATCACACCTCACGTATGACGTCCTTTTGGGAGAGCACGCCTCCGGTTGCCAGAAATCTCCACTTTGTGGAAGGCAAAAAGCTGATTAAATTGTTGCCTCTCTTATCTTGGAACCCTGACCCTGTGTCTCTTGAGGCTGCGGCTTGAGGGGCTCTGAGGAAGGACACCAGGGTGTTGGAATATGTGGGGACATTCACGCAGCCTTCATCAGGGCTGATAGACACAAGTTTCTTGCATGTGTTACTTAGGACAGTGAAGACTGCTAGGTTTGGTGGTGCAGGCCCGTAATCCCAGCATTATGGGAGACCCAGCAGGAGGAGCACATGTTCCAGCCCAACCTGGGCAATTTAGCAGTTTAGTGAGATACCGTCGTTAAAAAAATAAAAATAAAAAAGGCTGGTGGTGTAACGCAGTGTGAGACTTACTCTATTTTGTGAAATTGGTAGAACTGGATACTCTGCCCCAAACTCCAAAAGAAATTAGCAGGAAATAATGAGGTGGGAGATAAAACTGGGGTTACCAGAGAAGTAGGGGAGACTGGAGGTCCTAGGCTACTCTCCAACGCTGAATAGCCCCTTTGCCACAAAAGGCAAAACTCCACCGCTTGTAGCACTGCACCCCTATAATCCCAGCTATTCACGTTCAAGGGCAGCCGGGTAATTTAGCAATACCTAATGTTAAAACAAAAAGTAAGAAGGGGTGGGGATGTAGCAAAGGTGTAGCTCTTGCTCAGCATGAGTGAGGCCCCGTGTTTCATCCCCAGTGCTGCAAAAATAGGAAATAACAATTAGCCAAGCTCCAGTTTATAACTTGAGGCAAGATAGGTGCTCTGGGAAAACATAGGTCTGTTGCTAGGAGACAGGGTCGCGAGCAAGACTGGAAACCTGACCCAAAGATCCAAAGGGGTTTAGGGGACCAGATAGCCCTAAGAGGGCCAGCCAATCATAGCAGTCCATTCCTGTGGACATGGTGATTGGCTCATGGCTGTGCATGAGACTCAAATGGGCCAATCAGCGTGCTCCTTAAGTTACCTTCTGAGGAATGCGTGGGAGAAGAGACCCCCTTCCTTGCAGGCTTTGACAGTAGGGATTGGGGTTGCCAGCATTTCCCTTTATCCCCCTCTGTCATCACTTGGAAGGAAGCGAGACTGAGAGATGTTGAGGGAGACCAAGTCCCTGCGTGTGTGTGTGTGTGTGTGTGTGTGTGTGTGTGTGTGTGTGTGTGTGTGTTTTACTGGGGATTGAATCCAGGGCCTTGGCACTGAGATACGTACCCAGCCCTTTAAGATTTTTTTTTTTTTATTTTGAGACAGGGTCTTCCTGAGTCACTACATTCCCCAGGCTGGGTTTAAACTTGTGATCCTCCTGTCTCAGCCTCCCAGAATGCTAGGATTACAGGCATAGGCCACCACTTTTGGTTTTTTAAGTTTGTTTTGTTTTTGAGATAGCATCCTGATGAGAGACCAGGATGCCTAATGTTAGATTCAGTTCTGGATTTTGTTTTGTTTGTGGTGTGTGTGTGTGTGTGTGTGTGTGTGTGTGTGTGTGTGTTTATGCCAAGGAGAGAACCCAGGGCCCCCCTGCTAGGCAGATGCTCTACTGCCGTGTTAGCTTTCCATCACTGTGACAAAATACCTGAGAAAAACAATGTAAAAGCAGCAAGGTTTATGTTGTGGTTTCAGAGGTCCCGGTCAGTAGTCTGCTTGTTGCACTGCTTTGGGCCTGAAGTGCACTAGCACAGCGTGTGTGTGTGGGGGGAAGCCTGCTCACTCATGGCCCCCAGGAAGCACAGAGAGGAAGAAAACAGAGAGGAAAGAACCAGGACCAAGACATTCCCCAAAGTTACACCCCCATGACCCACTTCCCGGAAGTAGGAACCCTGCCTAAATTTCCATCACCTCCTAATACAGCCATTGAATTATAAATCCAAGCCAGGCAGGGTGCTGCACGCCTGTCATCCCAGCACTTGAGAGGCTGAGGCAGGAGGATCACTCTAAGTTCGAGGTCATCTTGGACTACATAGTGAGTTCCAAACCAGCCTGAAGGACATAGCAAGACCCCATCTCAAAAAACAAAAAAAAAAGAGGCAGCCCCAGCGTGTGACCCTGGCGCGGGCATGGCCTGGTGTGGGCGTGGCCTGGTGTGGGTGTGGCCTGGTGTGGGTGTGGCCTGGAAGGGTAGATAGAGCTTCCTTTGAGCTCCGCTTCCTGTCTGCCATGAGGTGAGCCGTTTCCTCTGCCAGGCCCCTCTGCCATGCCCTTTCTTCTTTGGGGCTGGCTGACTCTTAAGTAAAATCAGACACATGTGCAAATATTGTGTTGGTTCTCTGGTGTGAGAAACTGAAAGTGTAAATAAGGACCAAAGTGTATAATAGATATTGTGAAATAGGAAGAAAATATTCAAATGAGGAGAGGAATGGAGCAGAATAGGGAAGGAAAGAAGGGACAAGTTAAAAAAGGAGAAAAGAAGGAAAAAAATGGAAACAAAGGTTTCGTAAATGGGGAGGGAAGGAGGGGTTGATGTGAGGGGCGGGGAATGGGGAAAAAAGTTATATCATGTACGAGTACAAATTCTCTATGATGAATGTGATATTGTATGTCTCTAAAATGTATCAATAAAATCCGATTAGAAAAAAATTGTGCTGCTATAACCATGGGTATACATACATCACTGTAGTATGATCACTTTAACTCAGGAAGATGTCTAGAAGGAGGACAGCTAGGTCAAATGGAATTTCCAGTTTTATTTTTCTGAAGAATGTCCATACAGATTTCCGTAGTGGTTGTACCGCTTTATACCCCCACAACAATGCAGAAGGGTCCACCCGCCATCGCCCGCAAGCCTCACCTCTGACTTCCTGATGACAGCCATCGTTTCTGCAGATGGACTCTCAGTGCTGTTCTCCTTTGCATTTCTCTGACGGTCAGCGAAGCTGGGCATTTTTCATGCATTCTTGGCCACCTGTGCTTATTCTGAGAAGCGTCTCTTCGTTTCAGTGGATGGGCTGACATTCAACTCAGAAGGTGAATCTGATCCAGAGAACTGGCGCCAAGGTGGAGCCTCCCGGCCCTCTCCAGGCTTCCCTTTGCTGCCTCCTTCCCCACAGCCCCAGGAATCTGCATCCTCGAGCCCCACCCCAATGCCTGGGCCCCACCCCAAACCCTCCGCGTCATTCAGGGCACCCCAGGGTCTATGCAAGTGCTCAGGTGTGCCGGGTTTTCTCAAAGGAGGACATGAGCCATCCTTGCCTGAGCCCCTTCTGCTGCCCCCTCCCCAGAGCGCCACACACCAGCAAGCCCAGCTACTCGGGAGGCTGAGGCAGGAAGACCCAAATTCGAGGCCAGCCTGGGCAACTTAGCCAGACACTGTTTCCAAATACAAACTAAACAGGGCTGGAAATGTAGCTCAGTGTTAAGAGTGCCCGGGATTCGCACCTACACAGAAAAAACGTGGACTGGGGGCGGGGGGTTTAGCTCAGCGGCACAGCGCCTGCCTGGCAAGCGCAAGGTCGTGAGTTTGATTCCTGGTACCGGAAAAAAAAAAAAAAAAAAGTGGACTGATGGAGAGGGCAGGATGAAGGCAAGTGACATTTATTGCTGGCTGGGGCAAGGGTACATTGGGAGCTGCGGGGCCTGGGGGTCTACCACCGCTCTCGGGCAGCCCCGCTGGCGAGGCGTGCCCAGCGGCACGTAGCTCTCCTGGGCGTTGCTTATTCTCAGTACTGCGGGGCCCTGGTACTTGCAGGGAAACGCTTCCTTGTAGTGGGTGGAGAAGAAACGCTGCCGCCCCAGCGGGAACTCCACGTGGCTGTACTTGCACTGCGGGGTCAGGTGACGGTCGCCGGGGCACCCACCCTGTCCACCCTCTGGCCCCTGGCCACCCTGGGAACACCAAAGGGTGGGGAGGGCTCGGGCGCATGGCTCGTGATTGGACCCCGGAGGAGGGCAAAAGGGGCCCTGGCGGGGCCGACCCCAGGGCTAAAAGAGACTGCAGAGAGAAACAAGAGGTGCGGTGAACCCCGGGATCTGCAGACAGTTGTGAGCGGACCCTGACGTGACCCTGAGGCCAAGGTGGCAGAGGACAGAGGGCGGGGTGGGGCCAGAGGGTGTGGCCGGCATGGTGGACGTCCCCTTCCTGCGCGCTCACCCTTCGCAGCAGCTCCTCAGTGACCTGCGCTTTTGCTGTTCCGTGCGGCTTCAGCATCCTCCGGTTTGTTGTTGAAAATTCCAGTTCTGCAGATTTAGGTGGGGGCACCGGGGTGAGGGGCAGAGGGACTGAGGGTTCCGGGAATAGTTCAGGAGCAAAGGCTCATAGTGATCTGGAACGCTGGGTTAGAAGAGGAGTAGGAGCCGGGCATGGTAGCACGGGCCTGTAATCCCAGTGCTCTGGGAGGCTGAGGCAGGAGGACTTCAACTGAGCCCAGCCTGGGCAATTCAGTAACTTAGTAAGACCTTGTCTCAAAATAAAATATTTTTTAAAAGGGCCGGGGCTATAAGTCAGGATGAAGGCCCTGGGTTCGATTCCCCAATTCCTTCCCTAAAAGAAGGATTGAGGTTGGGTGGGGGTGGGGTCAGACCAGATGACTGGGAAAAGGGCTAGGTAGGACCGACAGGTGGTCAGAGGCGGAGCTAGAACCTGACAGGAGGAGGGGCTACTGTTGGGCGGGGCAACCAGGGAAGGGGCGGGGCCATACCAGGGGCGGTTCTGTAGCAGGGTGTGGGGTAGGGCTAAGACCTCGGAGGGGCGGGGCTTAGCACTAGGGGCGGGGCCTCTTAGGAGGGGCGGGCCGGCTCACCGCCCCCGCCCTGCCGCAGGTCGCTCCGCAACAAGTGGAGGTTGGGTGCCTTCTGTGGTTGCCCCCTGTCTGGGGCACAGTAGGCCGAGCGCGTGGTGGTTCGGAAGAAGTGTCCAAGCAGCTTTGGCTCTCCCATGGTCACGTGATCTTGTAATTTCTCATGGGCCACGTTGCGGCTGGGTGGCTCGGTCACAGGCGGTGGCTGTGGGACCACAAAAAATCTAGGGAACTGCTGAGTCCAGGGGGTCCCGAAGCCCACGGGGAGGAAGGTAGTGGGTGCTGTGTGGCCTGAGACAACGCCCTCCCCCTCTCTGGGCTCCATGATGCTGTTGGGAATGGACACTGATATCTCATTGAAATTAGACAGGGAGGTTTTTATTTTATTTACAGGGGATTGAACCCAGAGCCTTAGCAATGAGGCTCATCTCCAGCCATGTTTATTTTTTATTGTGGGACACAGTGCTGGGATTGCAGATGTGCACCACCCTCCCTGGCTGGGCTCTTATTTTGTGCTGCTGGGGATGGAACCCAGGGCCTCGTATATGCTAGGAAAGTACACGACACTGAGCGAGATCTCCAGGTCTTTTTGTTCCCGAGTCAGGGTCTTGCGAAGGTGCTCACGCTGAACTCCAACTTTGGACCCTCCTGCCTCAGCCTCCAGAGTAGCTAGCATTACAGGGATGCACCACCCCACCGGGATGTGGTGATTTGCAAGTAACTTACCCAAGATCGCTCGAACAAATCTAAGCAATGCTTACACATATCAAGCTCATTCCTACCCCAGGGCCTTTGCACACAATTTACTCTGTCTTTGAAGCGCTTTTCTCCACTGACTCCCCTTTCTCCCCCTATCCACTGACCTGGCTGTAGAAATCCTGCGTGGAGGTCACAAAGCTTCCGGGGCCGGGACAGCTGTTTCCTCCCAGGATGTGCGATTTTGGAGTCTGATCATGGTGCAGGAGGAAAGGCTCTGCTGGGCCAGGGTAGGGGCTGAGCGGCTTGGGAAAGCCGCGGAGAGAGGGAGCGGGGCAGAGGCGGCAGGCGGCGCTCACCTGGCTCCCGCGCATAGAAGTGCTGGGTCACCGTGGTCCTGTCGTGGAAGAGGCCATCTCCGGGCAGAACGCTCACACAGTGTATGCGGGCTGCCGCCTGGGCTTTGTCGTACCTGCAGGTGAGAGAAGGAGGGGTCTGCGGGACTCCTTGCGATTCCTAGCAAAGAGGGGGAGCACCACTGCAAGAGCCAGGGGACGTGAACAATGAGTGACTTGGCACAATACACAGACTTCAAAGCCCTACGGGGCCCCCTCGGCTACGCTCAGTACCAGCCGTCCCTTCCCGGCGAGGGATGCAGGGGTCCCTCTCACCTGTCTGGGGGGAGCCCTTGGGGTGTGTGGGCCTGTTTCAGCTCTGAGCACACTGAGCTGTAGCCAATTTTGGAATCTCCCAGGTGCACGGAAGAGGCTGCCTGTGGGCAGAGAGGGGTGAGAAGGCCAAGACCACCCAGCCCCCACAGCTGCCCTCCCCATCGGCCCCAATCCTGCCTCAGCTTACCCTCTTACACATCAAGGCAGGAAGGCCTGGCAGGGCCTGGAACTGGCTCTTGTAGGAGGTCTCTTTCTGCTCCTTGTAGTCCCAACTGAGGGTATTGGAGGCTTCTGAGGAAGGGCAAGGAGAGAGAGAATAAGATCCACTCCCTGCAACCACTGGCCCCCTAGGATTCAGTCCTTTCCTGGGAAGCCGTGCGGGGTGACACACCCCTGTAATCCCAGAACTTGGGAGGCTGAGGCAGGAGGATCGTTGGAAGTTCAAGACCAGCCTGGGCTACAAAGTGAGCTCAAGGCCAGCCTGAACTGCGGAGCGAGACCCTGTCTCAAAACAAACAAGCAAAGTGGGCCTTGTACTCACTTCACAGCCTCCCCAAAGCTCAGAGAGGTTAAGCAACTTGCTGGAATTCACAGAAATCTTGAGCCAGAGCTAAGAGTCTAGCCAAAGCTTGCCAATCTCTGAGCCCCTCTTGGAGGAGTCGGGCTTGAGATATCCACTTGCAAGGGCCCTGGAGCCACACGTTTGGGAAATCAGGGTCGAGGTGGCTCTTCTTTGTCCAGCACCCACTGCCTGCCGGGCTCACTGTGCACACTGAAACCCTTTCACTTCACCAGCCGCTGTGAGGTCGGGCCCTGGAGCAATACGCATTTCGTAGCTGAGCAGACGGAGGCTTGGAGAGTCTCACGTGCACACACACAGCGTCGAAGGTGTGAGGGCTGGGGGTGGCTGTGGGGAACTGAGACTGTCTAAACTCAAACCCGCACTCACAACTGCTCCCCATTACGCCGCGCCCTGGAGAGATTCGGGAGGATATCCCCACTCCATGGCTGTGGAAACTGAGGCCTAAAGGAGGTCCTGGGGTGGTGTTGGAGCTGGAGTATTACTGACATTTGGGGCTGGCTAGTTTTTCCGTGGGACGGCTGCCCTGTGGGTGGTGGGATGTTTAGCCCTCTACCTGCAAATAGCACTCTCACCCGTAGCGGTGACAATCAAGAATGTTTGCAGATGTTCCCTGGAATTGGGGGAAGTTGCAAAATCCTCGCCCCTCTTTGTACACAGGACGCAGAGGCGCGCGCTCACCCAGATGGCAGCTGCGAGCGCGGGGCTGCGGGCACGCGTCGTGGGGCGGAAACAACGTGCGGTACGTGGTGAGGGGCATGCGCAGTTTGTCCCTGTCGCCGGGCGGCACCGAGTCGAGGTCGAAGATGAGGCGCGCGCCGCCGACCCGCTCCCCGGCGCGCGCCCGCACCTCGGGCCAGCCG